AGTCAGACTGTGGGGCCCCTGTGACCCTGTGTGTCTGGGGTGCCAGCAACTGGAGTGAGTCAGGGTACATATGTCAGTGCATGATCGCTAACAACTATCAAGCTGGACTAGCTGGCTAGTAGAATAAGTGGTTTAAGAGCCAAGTATCAAAGCAGTTGGAAGTCTGGGCTGGATACCTGTGTCTCCGAGACAGAAAAAACAACAAAACAACAAAATTGTTACAACAAGCAAGAACTAAGTGCTAACGTATTTCAGACAAAGTATTGGTCTTCAAATTAGTTAAATTAGATAGCTGGGTTTTTCCACTTTGCCTTGAAAAAAGGGGTCATACATAAAAGCTGCACCCTAGCAGAGAATTACAGCTTCCAGCCTCTCAGCCCCTTCAGGGTTCCCCTTCATGCTCATCTGGGGAACAATCTACTGCTGGATTCAACAGCAAGGACTATCTTATCTCTAAGTTCAGGAGCTTTCTTGGTTTTGGCCAAGAAATTAATCAGACTTCTGCCATAAACACTAAATCTAACAAATCCAGGTTTCCTACTTCCTTTGTGCCCTCCAGCTTTCCCTCCTATTCTGCTACTGAGTATGTGTCAAACGCAAGTCTTTGCTCAAAGGTGCCATTATCCTGTTTAGGATTAACCTGATTTGGGAGCTACAGCCTATAGCCTGGAATCCATTAGTTGGAGCTTGCACGTGAGAAGAACAAGGAGAGGAAGCATACACTTTTGAAGGAAATCCCCTCTCAGAATCGTGGGGCCTGATGAAGAAGAAAGCTGCATGCTCCCAGTCACCAGCACTTCTCTCAAAGAAGATTTCATGTTTCCTATGTGAAAATCAGGCACATTCATAGCTCTGACTCCAGCAGTATTTAAATATATAAATAAATAAGACTGTAGACAACTGTGGCACGTAAGACAAGTGTCTGAATATGCCCTGTCAAGGTCAAAGATATGCTACCAACCTAGTTTCAAAGAATGCAAGCAGATGATAGTCCCTGAAACCAGCAAACAATCAATTCAAAAGAACTGAGTGCCACTCAACCAAAAAAAAAGTGAATTCACAACAAGACAGAACATTTCCATTTATGTAGAATAGAAAATCAATTATTTCTAGTAGAACCACAAAGCTTCGGTCTTCTCGTCCTATTACCATGAGACTGCAGTATTAAATGTGCAGTGCAACAGGCTGCAAGATGTTCTTAAAGAGGAATAAAGTCTGTTGTCCCCTTGTTCCTGTAAGCAACTACATGACTTTTTCAAAATGTGTCATTAGCAAAATTTTCTAATAGAAGACTTTGCAAATCTGTATACCCTTTTTATGGCCCCCTGAATATACTGCACTGTGACTCACCTGGAAAAGTAAGCTATATCCACTCACCAATAAATTGTTTATATTTAGATTCCAACTAGAGGCTTAGTGCTTATAACAGGCCAGAACTTGGAGAAATTAATGCACCTTTTTATGAGTTCTGCAGGAGGGAAGGGGAGCACTTTATAAGCTAAAGCCAACCGAGGTTGTATAGTCTAGGGTTTCAGGTACTCACTACTCAGTATGACAAGTGACACAGTGAAACTGCAGTGGACTGAACACAACACAATAATATTTAAGTTATGGAACTGCCACATATCTAGAAATCAGAAAATTAGTATTACAGATTCTAGCCACATTAGGATTCCAGATTTGTTTGGCACTGTATTTTTTTTTTTTTTAAATTATCCAGCTACAAAAGAGGTAGAATAGGGGCCATAAAGCATCCTTCTTCTAGAAGATAAAAGGAAGTTCAGGAATGCATCTAGATCACTTGACTCCCAATGCAGTACCCTATCCTCTAAACTAGTATTTCTAAACCTAAAAGGCACATCTCATTCAGAGCAGCAAACGAAGCACAAACACCCCCAACCTGCAGGTCTGCCCTGCAAGCTGGCACCTGGCACCCACGATGACGAGCAGTAAAGAATTCCAAACTAACTCAAGTGAGACTAGAGGTACTTCTCAGTGTAATGTACCTTTAGGAATTGTTAAGAATAAAGAGTAGCACACACATATTTAGGCAACACAGAGTAACCAGACTGTACCTTAAAACATGGAAATGGGTTTACAGGTACAGAGGTGTATTTGAATTTTTGTGCTTGTGGTTGACACACGGATGGGGAAGCTACCAGATCGAGCGTGCTAAGAATTTCCCTGGGGGTGGGGACGAGCAGATAAAGCAAGGAGGAGTGACAGACCAGCAAGCTCTGTGCTGGTGAGGGAAGAGCTCCTCCCACTCGACACCTGAACTCCCCCACAGCCTCTAGTCTTCTTTGACAACCGATTTAAGAGTTGCTCCAAAGTAAATCTAAGCCACAGCACAGATGAAACTTTACGAGCCATGGAAATAAAACTAGTACCCCGAGATTTCCCATGCTGGTATAAAAGAGGTTCTGGGCCAATGAGTTTAAATTCACAGTACCGCTGACAGCCTCCAAAAGAAAAAGCTTTTTGTACCTAATAAATGTTAACTCAGTGAAGTCAGGAAAAGAATTTGTTTTTACCCTACAGCATTTGTGATCTTAGAGAAGCTGCAGCCAGCACCAGCTCCACTGTGACCGTGGTGCCCCTCTCTCACGTCTTCAAGGCTGCAGGCTTCAGGACAGCAACATGTTGAAGGGTCAGACACAGGCCCACCACACATCTCTGCACTCCCATCCAAAGGCAGAAGGGCTGAGATTAGCACGACCCTGCCCCCCCATTTCAAAGTCACATCTCACTAGAGTACTCTGAAAAAGTACTGACAAATGGTCAGGTTGTTGAATTCACATCAACTCCATTATCTCCAAAACGCAAGGTGAGCAATCTTTTTCTTTCTTTTTTTTTTTTTCGTTGAACAGCTAGGATCTGGCAAGTCATATCCTCTCTGAATAGTCAGTGTGAGGAGTTTCAGCTGCATTAAGCAATGATTGAAGCACTACTCGCCTCAGCTTGGCATCAAACTGGTCTACCATGAGAAGCACAATGTTGATTAAGGATTAGCAGGGGCTGTCACACAGAGCTGCCTACAAGACACTTAGCAAACATCTAAAGCAGGCCAATGGCTGTACTCACACCTTGACAGAGTGCCTCGACAGTCAAAGCAGAGGTTGGCCAAGCATCACGCAGCGAGCAATTCAGTTCAAGATGCTCCAGCCCTTCGTGGAACTGGACATAGCTGCACAGAGGGGCAAGATGAGTTTTAGATAGCTGGTCCTATTAAGATGAAGCTCTGTTTTCAAACGGATAGCTTCTCTCTCGGTGAGTCTGCTTCCAGGGAAAAGACCAGAAGCTTAGTTAAGGGAAATTATGAGACTCCCTTATTAATACATAAGATAACTCAGGACAGCCTGAAACCTGTAAAGACTGGAAAGGACCAGGGAGAGGGGATTAAAAATAAACAGCTTGAGAATAAGCTAGCATATGCTACAACTGAGTAATGATTTGAATGGCAACCGTGTATGTTCCTGAGCTCCCATGTGAGAACTAAGTGTCAGTCAGTAGGTATAGACACCTTCACAGAACACCCAGCTGAGACAAGAAAAGCTGCATCAGTAGCCTCGCCTCTGTGTACTACAGACCATCAACTCTACTTGATGAATCACCAAGATTGGATCATGATCGAGTCTAAATGCTGACCTTACATAAGCCCTTAAAAGCTTTCTCACTGTGCTAGCTAAAATTTTCGTGATAAGCAACACACTGCACACCAATGTGAGATCAGCCTTGGCTGGAGTCCCATCATTCTCACTGTGCAAAGATTACTTCCATGAGAAATACTTTGCCTCACTAGAGTGCAACTTTATCTAGGGCTTAAAAACAAATCAAAAATAAATGCAATGTTTGAAATTTTTCAGGACAAGAAGACCTTTATAAATAAATATTTTTTCCATAAAGTAACATACAGCATGAAAGATCAATTTCTAAATCAATGCCTCAGCTGGGTACTAGCATTTATTTCCCACAAACAGCAAGAACTTGAAGTACACTCACACACTCAGTGTCTACAAGGCTGGCATACATCTCAGTATTGTGAACTCAGCTCCATCAGTTGCAACCACAGAAGATGATACTCTTGCAAACATCACCCGCAGAACTCTGAAGAGTGCTACTGCAGGCTGACTAATGCATTTCAGGAAGGTGGAAGGGCAATGCTGATGGGAAAACTCCCTTCCTCTGTTGGCACACGGTGCAGTTTCTCTGCAGGGCTCTGCCAGCACAACTGGTTGTAGAGTATAGACAAACCTATAGAGATGCCCAGCCGGAGTCTCCCAGCTAACAGTAATTTCTTTTGGGCCAGACAATGCCAGATCTCTCAAAAATCTCCTTTCTGAACATGAGAAGCCCTATGGCCTGCCATGCACTGAGAAGCATATCCAGACTGTCAGCTTGCATGAGAAGGGAGGCAAAGCCGCAGCCCTCGAGGCTGCCAGGGAGCGTGCCACCAAACGGATCTCCTCACGGAGATGGCCACGGCCAGTAACACAAAGCAGCTGTAGAGCCCAGCTGTCCTCTCCATCTCCCTCCCACTCTGCGACCCACGTAGAACTGGTTAAACATTTCACCAGAAACCGCACTTCTGATATAAAGCACATTGAAATCCAGTAAGAGAGCGTCCATACTAATGGATGCACAGACACCCCTGGTCCCTCTTCCACAGAGGGACAGCACTACTGTAAAGCACCTCTGCTCTGTACAATCCTTTCACATAAGAGGAGGCAAAGTTGTAGGGTTTTGCCACACAAATACCCCTAAAAAAAACTACAGTATGCAAGAATAGATAAACTCTTGTTAGAGTATTAGAAGACTTGGAACATCTCTTTTGTTAACAAACATCAAGATAAACAATACAAATCTTGTACAGAAATATGGAAGTAGCCTTTGCCTCTACTACTTCTGTGCTGGAAGGTGTCTAAGGGTTCAGGGTCTGGAACATGGGACAAGGTAAGTGCAGAAAGGCTCCCCAGACCCAGCAGACCCCTGGCACGTACCAGATCACCTACGCTCCCCGTTCAGTGGCAGAAAGCCCGTAGAAGAGCACCGGGTCCTTGGCACCAGCACCCACGGCGCGCTCTCAGCTCACACTGAAGAAGTCAGGAAGGCTGCAAAACAAAAACGTGTGCCACGTATTAGAGTTTCTGCTTATGGAGAGTGAGTAAAGGAGGGATAAATGAAAAGTATTGAACTCCTAAAGGTCAAAGTTAACTGCACCACCAAACACAGAGCCATCCTCCACCATACCCGAGTCAAGAGAAGAACCTAAATCAGGGAATGGGAAGATTAGCACAATTTACTGAAGTAACCCAAAACAGCCATCTTCCGTTGGCCCCTTGAAATACGCCCCTACTAAACAACGCACTGTCGGGAGAAGTAGAAGCTGAACAGAGGTAGAGATACCTGGATGCATATATTATAAGTAGAGAAAAAGGGTCTTCCCAAGCTGGGCAGGTGTCCTGAGCTGTTATGGGACTATGACAGCTCAGACATGTAAAGTATAGGAGCTGTGAAACACACTTCAAATTCTTTCTCCCTCTGCACTGCAGCACAGACCTGTGGTTTTCCCGTACATAAACATTAAATAGCAGTGAGAAAATACACATGACTTTAGAAGATAGAGATGAACCCCAATATATGAAAAAAGCAGCAAAAAACCCTCAAATAGACTCATAAACTAATTTAGAAAATAAAATGATTTTGATTTTTTCAATCTGTGCTCAGGAGACATCAAGTTTATAACTTATTTTTGCAAAAATCTGTATGTTGTACTACAGTCAGATCCTAATCCTTCTGCCCTCTGGTAAAAAAGCAAGTCAAAGACGTGGCTTTTACTACTCCAGAATATTGTGGAGTCTTTGCCACAGTTACAGAAGCCAGGTTTTCTCCCCATCAAAAAATATGCCATCAGCAGACCTGTGACTCAAATTATGTTCTAGAATTTAATGTATTATTCAATTTTATATTTGTTCTCCCATCTGGAGATGATAAATATGTAAGACTGAAGATCCAAATCTCATCTGCTGTACAGCTTAACAAAAAAGTTTTTTTGTTTAAGCAAAAGCCAGACTCTAAGTCAAGCCAAACTATAGTCCATTTTAAAGAGATTTGTTTTTTCTGTCCTTGTTCTATTAGAAATTCAAGAACTATGAATTCGAGACAGTACCGAGACAGAACAGATCACTTATGTGAGATAAAAACGTTCTCTTTAAAAACAGTATTTATCATTTGGAAATATGAAAGTGAACCTTTTTATAAACCAGATGAAATATCATTTTTAAGTCTAAAGCTCTTTCAAGAAATCAAGAAAATAAATATACTCATTTTTATGCTAATAATGAAGCTCTAGGGTTTGTTTTGTTTTTAAACTGTTCACAGAGAAAGAACATAGAACAGCGCTCGTTAGGTTAGTCCTCATAGAACAGCGCTCATTAGGTTAGTCCTCTAACCCAATTTAGCAGGCAGTTTTGGACATTTGTAACAGAGGATCAGACTTCAGTATTGGGAGGGGACAGAGGAGGGGGGAGAGAGAAAAAAAAAAAACACATATTACGTTAATATTTGCATACCAGGAAAACTTCAAGAAACTTGTGATTTCTTTCCATTTCTGAGATCCACAGGTTTTATATAAACAAATCTTCTGGGATAAGTATTAAGGCTCCAGTCTTCTGTGCCAGATCGGGCACACATGCTACCTTTTATTCCTCTATGATTTTAAGGAGATCCTTTGCAAGATACACAGTCAAGCAGATGGATAGATCTGTGCTGGAATGGCTATTTCTGCGGTTAGCTCTCTTCCTATAAATAACACATAATTTACTCTAGACCAAGCCTAGTGTAACTGCAATAGAAACATCGGTTAATGCAGTTTAAAAAAGAAAAAAAAAACAAAAAAGCCCCCACACACCTCAAAAAACATTTTATATCTTTGTAACAAGACTAATTTTTGATCCAAACTAAGGTCAGCAACCAGTTCTGATCCAGAGCTTTTTCCTTGCAGAAGATCACACTGACTTGAAATGCAAAATACAGTTCTTGAAGTTCAGAATAACTAAGTCCTCCAGCAAAACAGCAGCCAGTCAAGCTAGATATCTCCTGCCACTACCTTCAGCCTCTCCAATGACATTTTGCAATGTCGCTGGCATTTCCAAAAGCATTTCAGTTATGAAACAAAACTACCTATAGTTGTTTTTCCCCCTCCAGGATAGATGGGAGATACAAGAGGGTTAAATCACAAGTTCTGAGCAAAAGGGGAACTATGCAAAGGCCTTTAAGAAATACTTGTGGGACTTCCTCCTAGCAGGAATAAAGACATATCTGACTTCAACCCCAAAAAGATACTAGTAGCTGTGGCATAAATTCCTGAGACAGTGCTGCTGCCTGCCCAGCATGTTACATTTTCCAGCTGGGAACGTTTCTCCTTAGAGCCCTTCCCTTTTCTCCATACCCCTGCACAACACGTCCACCTCTCCACCCCCATTTTTAACACATTGCCTGCAACACTTTCAAAGCTGGCAGATTTGTAAACAATCATTGAGGACTGGAAAGAGGAAGATTTGATTTGATTTTATTCCTGGATACAAATCTTAACCTCGCAAATAAAACCACAGACATCCAGCACTGCAGCAAGGTCAGTCTCCCAGACCTATGCAAACTAGAATAGTTCATTTAGGATTTCATTACAAGCAGTAAATGGGAAGGCAGATAACAGGCAGACACTGATATCGCCCACCGGAAAATGAATTAGCAACATTTAACACCCACAGATGACAGAGTAGGAACACACTGTTACAATTAGCTGAAACAAACAACTGGCTGCTTGAAGCAATACTTTCAGAAAGGCAGCTAGATGCAAGTTTGAAGAATTAACTTGACTCCATTTCCTTCTTTTATGAAGGTGGAAGGACAGCTCTAAGTCCTTAAGATGGGGTTAGGCGTCGCTGTACACACTTGGATTTCCCTGGGACGCAGCCCTGCAATTCATTCCTCAGCTGCCCTGAGAAATACCGACCTTACAGATGCCAGTGCGTGACATGATCTCGCGCAGGTCACTGAACTGCCATGAAGAAAACAAACAAAACCTAAAAACAAACTGAAAACACCAGCTAGCAAAGAGAAAGCGGGGAGGCATCACCACTGCCGAGATGCCGGAGCAAAGCCCACCTTTGCAGACTCCTCAGCCCGGAGCAAGGCTTCCGCCTGACACACACACTGCACGCAGATTTTCAATTTCCAACCCTCAGGCCAAAGCTACTTCCTTGAGGTTAAGCAAGAATCTGCTGAGAGAGGAATCGCTGCAGGTTTTTTCCCCGCTGCAGACTGTGCTCATGACTGGCTGCTTCCAGCCAGGAGCAGAGGAGGTTACCAGGTTTGATTTTTCTCCTTTTCAACCGCCTTCCTTTTGGTAAGGAGCTTGTAAGTTCAACTTAAATAGCAAAAAGGCATTTTTTTGTGGCCAGCCTTAAACAGGAGTCATTCACTACTGAAACAGATTTTATGCTTCACTAATTCTTTTCTCTGAAGCACCAATCATACAAACAGCACGTTTTTGCAGCAATGAAATTTCATTTTTATTCTTGCCTTTAAATTAGGCAGTTCAGTGAGATTTTCAGATGTGTAGGCAAGTCTACTTCTATTCACTTAAACATGCTCTCATTTAAACCCACTTACTCTAGAAACTGCTTCTGACAAAATAGACACTGCCCATGAGCTGTCCCCCTTCCCTGGCGGGCGGCTGCTTCCCCCACGGCCCCAGCAGAGAGCGGCCAGCCCGGGCTCAGCGGTGCTGGGATGTCACCCAGCAACCGATCATCTTCTGCTTCCACCTCTCAGGAGCGTGCTCGGTAGGAAAATAAACTCACCTGTTAGCATTAGGGAATACCACAAGTTTTAAGGATTACATCGCTCCTCCTGCATCTTTTATAATAATGGCTATATGTTCCTAATATCCTGCAAACGTGCCTGCAGCAGGGAGGAACTCGGAAGGGTGTAATACCAGTAACGTGCAAGTTGGCAGGGATACAGCTGCTCTGGGAACAGTAACTATAGATTTCCCAACTTCTGGGCTTTTAGAATTAAAGTACAATTATGAACTTATGCAGGAGAATTTGCAGATATTATGGATGTGCAGTACTCAATGTATAGTATGGTTATAAAACAGCTTTCATACTCCAGTTCCCTCCACAGATGCACGGGTATGCTGCATTTATGTTGTCAGTTTAGAAACTCTGCTCCAAATTACCTTTTAAACAGGAAGTGCAGGATCTCACCGCACCTTTCTTAATGAAAATTTCCACTTCTTTCCCCAATTTAAAAATAGAAGAATGGAAAAAGTCTAACATATCATCAATGCTTAATAAGTACAGTATGGTCATCTATTTTAGGGATGAATTTTTCTTTCTTTCCTTCTGGACAGCACATTATCAATTTCTAACTGTAGTCTATTACACGGCTCCTGGTAAGCCTAATGCAACTGCCCTGGGAACACGGGCTGCTGGATTTTTTGTTCTGGGAATGGAGGAGAGAAGGAGCCGAGTTTTGCTTTGTTGTTTCTAGGGGCCTTAGTTTGGAAATAGTTCAAAACAGAACAAGCAAACAGAAATGATGATTCTCTTAAAACAAGAAGCCTGACAGGCATATTAACAAGTTGCACTTCAGTTTGACACGTGAAGGATTTTCCTGACATAATGAAGGCGTAGGGGAGAAAGTTGCTGTCATAGCCTCAAGAATTTCATGACATTTTTAGTATCTACCTTTGTGTCTGGAAAAATATCTGGGCTTCTTGAATAGGAGTTTTTGCCAAACACACAGAAAAAAGTTTTTTATACATTAATTCACTTACTGCCCTAGAGAGCTGAAAAGAAAAGAGCAACATTTAAATAGTTTTGACCTTCCCAAATTTTTGAAGCACAATTTCTTGAAGGTCAGGAAGATCAGGCAGAATAAGGCTTTCACTTTCCCCATTCCATTTCATTACATTCAGAAGCATTTCTTTCAGAATTAGTGGCCAAAACCCTGAAACACGTGTGGCCCTGTTTTATTTATGAGCTGTGGAAAGGGCAACAAACAAATTAAGAGGTTCAGTGGACCCTTATTTGCAGGAGGGGGT